TCCATCAATGTAATCCTATAAACACAAATTATATAGAATTAAGCCACATTTCAACATATACATCAACAATTTTTCATGTTTTGTGACCTAAATAAGTGTGCAAAACACACTTATCACCTGGTAAATTTACTTCAGCTGAGTCCGAGACGAGGCCATCCCGCCTTCCAGTTGGTACGTTGTAACGAGGTCCTCCGGCTAAGACAACCATGTCTCTTGTTGCCACTGTTATGATATCTGCACACGAGACGGTGGAGGGGCAGGCAGCTTCGAGGGCTTTTTTTATCTCGTCAATGAGCTCGTATCCTCGCACTATCAAGTTTGGTCTTGCATCCTTTTCTGAAGATGTGGACTTGGTTGAATCAATGAGTATCGATGCATCACAACCCTAAAACCATTTTTTTACATGGATAATTGTTAAATATGTTACAGTTGTTAGATGAGATAGTAAAACATGGTATCAAAATAAATAAATGTTTCGAGTTCAAGTCTTATCGCACAGCTATACATGTTAAGACTTTAATCAATTACCTGTGATAAGACGTGTGCATGTTTGACGATAATTTAAGTTATATTCTTGTCTTTGAGATGAATTGTCTAGATTAAAGTATAAATTCAGTTACTGCTAGAATATTTTGGCCAAGTAAATTTCATATTGCACAAATTATATTGTCCAAATCTTTGAATGCAATAAAAAAAGAACTTGAAAGGCAAGCTCTTGTTTGAAAAAGATGGCTCACGAAATGCATTTGCATGAAGAATATTATGTATACAGAAATGATCTAATGAGCACCGGTGCTCATCTTATCCTAAGCACCGATGAGTTGGCACATTAATTCATTGGTGGATAAAGATTTTGTGAGTTCCAATCCACCAATGAATTAATGTGCCAACTCATTGGTGTTTAGGATAAGATGAGCACCGGTGCTCATTAGATCATTTCTGTATATANTGCTCATTAGATCATTTCTGATTATGTATATATGTCCAATAACTGCATTCAGATACAATATTCCCGATTTCTAGAAACGTAAATGTTTTCATTAGAGTGCAGGATGACTGCTCAATTATATCTAGTCGAGCACACCAAATATGTCTTATATTTCATATTCGCGTTTAGTAATAAGTTTATCCTTACATTGAAAAAGACAGTCGAGCATACCAAATATACCTTATATTATATATTCATGATGGTAATAAGGGTTGATCCTTAACTTTACAATGGTAGTTGAGTATACCAAATAAGCCTTGTATAATATATTCATCTATAGTAATAAGGGTAGATCCTTACCCTGACAAAGCAGTCGTGAAAATGCATTCGAAGCA